TAGATTACATTTAACCTGGTTCACAACGAGACACGTACTGCTATACAGGTACGTAATTTTTTTGTTATTAATATCATAACTTTTATATCATGTAGATATAGTATCAAACCATATCCCGAACATTTTTATATATTGTTATAAGAGCACATGATGCAAAGAAGGTGAAAACATACAACTGTGTTATTTAATGCAATTTCTCGCCCCTCAGACAGAGATATCCCACGTCAAACCACAGGCTAGTTTTGTTTCTTGTCCGATCTGTCTGGTACCTTTAAATGTCATTTCGCGGAATTTTGACAGTGCGATGTATTCATCCACGAGGTAACAGCTTGAAATTGACAGTCTGCATTATAAATATTGCGTTTTGTTGGTATGTGTATTGTTTGTTGTTGTTGGATATCTGATGTTGTAGATAAAATATAATCTACACTGTAAAAATGCGAAAAAAAAAATCAATTACCCGTAACTGAGCGAGATCGGGTTATCTCAGTCTCTGGTTCAGATTCAACGTCCACTGGTGATATTTTTGGTCATCTCCTCTTTCTAATGTTTATGTAATATAATGTGTACACGCCTGATGAACAAAAATGAAATTAGTAACACGTGGTGGTGTTAGATAATATATATATATATATAAGCTAAATCAAGCAATATATCAAAATAGTTTATATCAGCTATAAGTGATGTTATACCATGCCATGTTAAAAACTTGATTTAGGACAATATGTTATGTATGTTTATTTTGTTTAAGTTGCATGGTATTAAAAGAAAGCCACATAGCTGGAAATCAACTATCTTAAATGCACCTTTTTGCTAAAACTTATATGTAATGTAGTTACGAATTTACGCAAATGATCACATATATCATTCCAGTGAGCAGCTATTGTTTAGGTTTAGTATTGTTTGGTTTAGTATTGTTTGGTTTAGTATTGTTTGGTTTAGTATTGTTTGGTTTAGTATTGTTTGGTTTAGTATTGTTTGGTTTAGTATTGTTTGGTTTAGTATTGTTTGGTTTAGTATTGTTTGGTTTAGTATTGTTTGGTTTAGTATTGTTTGGTTTAGTATTGTTTGGTTTAGTATTGTTTGGTTTAGTATTGTTTGGTTTAGTATTGTTTGGTTTAGTATTGTTTGGTTTAGTATTGTTTGGTTTAGTATTGTTTAGGTTTAGTATTGTTTAGGTTTAGTATTGTTTAGGTTTAGTATTGTTTGGTTTAGTATTGTTTAACGTCCTGTCCACAGCTATGGTCGTGGGAGGCTGCGATATGTTCGTTTGTAAATAACCTATACAATGTGGTGTAAGTTACGTGAGGTGATATATTAAAATATAATAAGCATAAGGTGACAAAATAAAGGTTGTATGTTAGATTTTTTTTTCTTTTTCTTTATTTTAAAAGAAGGACACAATATGTTATGAATTACCAACCCTAGTATTTAACATGTGTACAAACAGCTAGCATTTGGTGTAGAATGATCATCTATAATCATGTACATGAGAACAAAAAATATTGCGCATAGATATAAAATGCTGACAGTCCTAGTGGTTTGTTTGTGTATGATTCGACGTCCTCGTACCAGCTAAGGTGATGTAACATGGGTTTCTTCTGATGACAGGACTTGTCAAAGGTCACTGTAGAGAACAAAGAGTGTCCAAACATATAATTTTTATAAAACCAAATAATAACATTCTTCCTAAATGATCTCACGATGTTCTGTTTAACAAAATAATATATTTCTAGTCTATTTACCATGTGTTAACAAAGCAACTAATTATGTCGCTAGCATAATGCCGAGTTACCTTTAGGAGATACTATATTTTTTCAATTCAAAAGATCACCAAATGAATTATTTTTCAAGAGTACATTTGGCAATTATAAAATAGAAACACAATTTGTTTTTCCATCATAATGCCTTCAATACAATTTAGTTTATTCGAGGGAAACACACATCTGTCAACCTAATCGACATTGATTAGGATATATGTTTCGGAACGGTGACTGTGATCCATGTTCAAGGAAGGACAACTCAAATATACATAAAACACACTAGTTCTTTGTGAGTGTACTTGATTGAGTAGACATGCATACGAACTGTTTTTTTCTGAAAACATTTAATATCTATACTAACATTTTTACTTTTTTGTGTCTTTTAAAATATAACGATATTAATATTACAAAAATCCCATGAAGATTCACTAGAATGTTAAACTGGTGGAATGCCACAAAGAACGTGCATTTTCCTGTGGACACTTTACAATAAAACAATTTGACCACTTTGTACAAAACATTTTCGCTTTAAAAATGTTGTTGAATATTCAACTTCTTATCCAACACATCGAATCAGAATCACACGTGACTTCTGTATTATTTGTTTACTTTTTGGTCACGTTCGTATTACTACTCAATTCGGTTCATAGTATGAAAACCCTCAACCAAATTCACTTGGTTAACATAGAGACATTGCAGCACAAATGTAAATATACAGATTTTAGTTCAAATTTACATTGATCAATGACGCCATATTATACCCGCTTCGGTGTGTTCCCGTTTTATTACAATTTTTCCCGAAAATGACGTTTTTTAGTTGAATGTTTAATCATGTTACTGATGTGGTAAGTCATGTTATCTTTCCTGTCGTTCTTTCCTACATGTTTCAACCTTTCTATGCAGTGGTGTCTCCCTAGGCACCTCTCCTCATATGACCTAACATGTTGTGATGACGTGTGAAGTCATAAACAAACGGGCTAACCAGAGGTGCGTAGTTTTTTATTTTGTCATTTTTGTTGAGGTCATATTAACAGCTTAGGTAATTAGATGCATGGCATATGTGCGCATGTGTGAATGTGAGCTGAATGTGTATTGGTGTAATTGCTTCCTTGTGATAGCGCGCGTCTGATTTCGACTTTGTAGTGCTATCTCACTGAAATACCATGCCCACGGCACCCAACACAATATTCCGCCTTGTCCGTCATACTGACAACAGGTCAAACACTTCTGATTACTCTTACTGCTGAACGTTAAGCAGGGACTAACAACTACCATTTGACGGACTTCGGCATGTCCCGGCAAGGGGACATAATCCAGGTGCATCGAGGGTCATTGCCGAGCTGAAAGAGACATTAGGAGAAAAATGAAAAGTTCAAGACCCCAAGTGTCGGAAAGAGGGCTTCAGATCAGCACAATTACTCAAATATCATTTATATTTCGAAAAGGTAGAAGAAAATTCCCTATTGCACATGTTGGATCTTATTGGTGCAGTAGGATACACCGATATCTTACGAGTACAGGTTTCGTCAACAAACTAGTCTTCATCTTGATTCACATTCACTTGAAAAAATACGGACTAACAAGCACTCGTAAGATAAAAATCTGAATACCAAAGAAACCACAAAGACTCCGTATCTTAAATATTAACACTTATTGGTCAGCACGCAATCTAGAAATATATTTGTTAATGAATACATTTGATACAACCCATAGACTTAAATACGCACTAGAAACACTTCATACAGCTCTCGTCTAAATAATATATTTGTTCACCTGCACATATTGATCTGGTTATATATTTTCGTTATCACTATAAAAAGCTACCAAGCATGATACGGCCACTTTCTATCTTAATAAATGCTCCATTTCATGTATTTTACATATGTATCATTTATATATTAGTACAATAGCAGACTGTTCCTTCTTACATTTATAACTATATATGCTAATGCATTGACCTTGTCGGGAGCAATACATATACAGCTCTATACAAACCTTACTCATTAGCATATTAAATACAGTATTCCGTCTTTTCGTATTGCAGAGTTATCTGCTCTTGTGATCAGGTATTGATTGTTACGTCATTTGTTTGTGAGACTAACGTCATAACATTTTGAGAAACGACGTAATTTTCTCACACAAACTAATGACGTAACAATCAATACCTGCTCACAAGAGCAGATAACTCTGCAATACGAAAAGACGGAATATTTTTGTTTGTTGGTTTCTTTACTGTTTCGCGTCTAGGCCAGGTCATATGGAAACGGGGTTTAGGGAGACATCACCGAAAACTAACCGAATAAAATGACAAAAGGACACAATGTGCGATCCTAGTTTTCCAATGGATGAATCATATTTTTTTGAGTTTCTTAAGTGTCCCCTTATTTCAATTCTGCTAACACTCTACCCTGCTTTTGTCCAGTTAACATGAGTTCTGTATTTTGCATCTTCTCGTTGGTTTTTATTGACTGGTTCAGTGCATTCAATGTTAAGGTACATTGTATGGTCGACATTTGCATACGACATGTATCTGCTTTTTAAACGAATACTAATTAATCAATACAGGTGAGTGTGTCAGTGCGAGTGGCTATGGTCGTCGTCATCGATAAATATACAGGTATGTAAATGATTTCCAGCAATATCGATATCTTTTCTCATTGGTTATGGTAAAACGATAGTATTGCTCACCTTTCAGAAGTACTTATGTTTTTTTATTTGGTTTTTATTTTATTTTATAGAGCGTTACGTCCTATTAACAGCTAAGATTGTTGAATGATGTGTTTAATGAATGTGTGCACGTGTGCTTGAGACAGGGTTTGTTGGTATATTTGCTTCCCCACTGAAATATATTGCCGAAGGCACCTAGCACAGTATTCAGCCTGGTCACCGTATACTGACAACGAGAGAAATGACCCTAGATGCTAAAGGTTTAGCAGGGAAAAACAGAAACCATAACTAAGGACGTTTGTTAGTCCCAGACGAACCCATTGCCTACCACACTTGTGTTAGTCGTCATTGCTAAACACGAATATATCGCAGCCTCCCAAAATACACACACATACACTACACGCATGCATCTTGCACACAGGGGAGGCCGTCCTTAAATGACCTTAGCTGTTAATAGGACGTTAAACAAAATCAAACAAACAAACAAATCATTGCTGAAGAATATGTAAAAGCTGTTGCTGACCAAGTATATATACCCCACCGATAAAGAAACAAAAAACATCTGAATAATTTATTCACAAAGCATATAATCAAAATATACAAAGGGCATAAACTGTGTTTACGATATATACATCATATTGATTCACTGTGACAGCCTGTAGCAGCAAATGTAGGAGTTATATTATACAGCCATATGCTGTTAAATGCATCACCCGATCTTATCATGTCTCTATTGATACGTACTAAAATGTACCAATCGATATGAAATTTTAAACAAAATGCAAACTACATGTATTAAGGATTACAGCAACAAAAGTTTGTTAAACACGTTTGTCGCTGAATATAAGTTTCCTTTCCTTCCCAGCAGTGTATATATACAAGTTTGTAATACACGTTTGTCACGGACTATAAGTTTCCTTTCCTTCTCAATAGTGTATATACAAGTTTGTAATACACGTTTGTCACAGACTATAAGTTTTCTTTCATTCCTAGCTGTGTATATATACAAGCTTGTAATACACGTTTGTCGCAGACTATAAGTTCCCCTTCCGTCCCAGTAGTTTGTAATATTCGTTTGTCGCAGACTATAAGTTTCCTTTCCTTCCCAATAGTGTATATATACAAGTTTGTAATACACGTTTTTCGCAGACTATAAGTTCCCCTTCCGTCCCAGTAGTTGTAATACACGTTTGTTGCGGACTGTCAGTTCCCCTTCCATCCCAGTAGTTGTAATACACGTGTGTTGCGGACTATAAGTTCCCCTTCCGTCCCAGTAATTTGTATTACACGTTTGTCGCAGACTATAAGTTCCCCTTCCTTCCCAGTAGTTGTAATACACGTTTGTTGCGGTATATAAGTTCCTCTTCCTTCCCAGCAGTATATATATATACACGTTTGTAATACACGTTTGTCGCAGACTATAAGTTCCCCTTCCGTTCCAGTAATTTGTAATACACGTTCGTCGCAGACTATAAGTTCCCCTTCCGTCCCAGTAGTTGTAATACACGTTTGTTGCGGACTATAAGTTCCCCTTCCTTCCCAGCAGGGTATATACTGGTGTGGATAAGGACATTGGACGGACCTCGCCGGAAGTGCTGTCTCCATACAGAGTCCTCAATCTGAAAAATGATCTCATAAAAATATTTCAGACGTCATTTTCAGCAATGAATCTCTGTCTCTTATGTTTTTCAAATGTTTGCATCAATTTAACCAAAAAATATGTGTTGAAGCTAGAACATATGATATCACCTCTTTTTACTCCTAATAAGTTATGCTGTCAGTTTCAAAACATCTCAAGCCTTATTGCTGGAAAAGATTAATTAAATGAACGACTTCTCAATATCAAATTTGCTTTCGTTTTTCGATGCAGGAAACATTTTACTGCATCATTTCAGTATTTCGGCCATTTTAGACGCAGGAAGAAGTCAACAGAATGAAATAATATGTCTACAACTCTCAAGACCCAATGATAGTTCTAGCTTGCAAACTTTACTACTGAACTAGACAGGATGTGAGATCGGAATGTTATACATTTAAATATATACACACTAATTTGAAAGCTTTGATAACGGAGACATTCATTAAAATAATGCAATTATTTTTATTTTAGTAATTTTAAACAATTACTGAAATAAAAAATAAGCACTTATATGAGTTTCAAAAAATATTCAAACGCTACTAAAGACTAGCAAACACGTTTTAATAACTGAACAATTACTGAAAAAACAACTAATTAACTATCAAATTTGAACCCTAAATTGGCCAAAGAGAAATAAATGAATGAATATAGTGTTGAATTCCGTTGTATGGTCCCTTTTAATATACATTTGAAGGGTCCGTTTTACCTTTACCTTAGCCTTAAGTCAATCAGCACATTAGAATCGGGGTTCTTCTTTTGGAAAACCTGCCAGGAAGAACAGGACTTGATGAAGCCGATGAAGAAATCTACATCAACTTCCCTCTCGGTCATTAAAGGTTCCAGTCTGATGGGCAAAGGATATTGAATTAAGTAGGTAAGTTGAACATAAAAAACGGAATATTCTGCAACCATTAATTTGCTATATCTAAATGATTGGATATCCATTGACCCAGGGCATATTGTGAACATATAGTCGCCAACAAATGATTAAAATATGCGTGTCCATACATGTACTTGTACTTATGTTATAAATTAAAAAAAAAACGTTTTTCATTATATATTAGGCAGTTGTACATGATTCAATTACAATGTAAACCAGGTAAAGTGTACACACTGTAGGCAAGGAAACGTTGTTTGCGTTGTCATCAGCATACTTGCAACATACTACGCATTAGTATCAGATGCGCCTAGGCAGCATTTTGTTTTTCAATTCAGACTCTATGGACAGTGAGAGCCAACCTTTCCTAACTAAACAAGTGTAGTGGAACGTTTTATTTTCGCCCACCGTTGAGCTCATGCCATTAAAAACAGGCATAATGCTCTCTATGCATTGCTGTTTTGTGTTTCTTAACAGACCCAAAACGCTTCAGAGATGTATGATACGTGAATGAAGAAGATGTATACAGGTGTCGGTGTAGTTACCTTATAGCATCTTTGAACGGGAGGTCTATCAAAGCTAAACCATTGATGTAATGAATGTGTGCGTCACTCCCACAGCCACGTAAGGTACCGTTAAAGAAATCCTGCAACAATTTATATTACGGTCATTTTATTGCGGTTACATGTTAAACGAGGCACTTTTATATTTTTGTCCCGAAAAAGAATATCCTACAGACAAAAAATGATAAAATCTAAAGGCAGTTGCATACAATGAGAAAAAACAGTCGATCGGCAATCCTTAAAACTTTGTGTGGTTAAATCTGTATAATTTATATATCACTGAACAAGGATTGCTGAACATTCAAAGTTTACCAAAATTCCCTACGTCGGAAGCAGTCTGTGTAAGAATACTTTATTATGAAGTAAATGAAAGTAGACGAGCGGTGCTAACAGTTCTGACTAGATCTACTATTATGTGGTATTGTGCAAGTGTTGCGACGGATGTTGATCTGTTGTGATACGTAAGTAGTCATCAGCAATAATTAACCGTTGAAATGTTATCATACCTCCCATACCAGCTGATGTGCTTCTTTGTTGTGTATAACATCGGGTGCGAACGAATACACAGCTACTACACCTCCTGGTCGCAGCACGCGGCTCACCTCCCCCATCAATGTAGGTATGTCCATCCAATGAATGGCTGTAGCTGTAGTCACGAGGTCTACTGTTCCATCTCCAAGGAAACCCAAATCCTCGGCTTGGCCGACTCTAAAGTCAATATCACTTGCGACTTTTTTAGCTTCTGCGATTTGTGCTCTGCTGATATCTATCCCAATAACATGCTTACATATGTTGGTCAATGGGAGAGTACTCTGTCCACTCCCACAGCCAACGTCGATAGCTACATCTAATTTGGTCGCGTCTGATTGCTGGCAATAATCTTTTATTTTGTCGTATAGTTCTTTGGGATACGACGGTCGATATTTTGCGTATAATTGTGCATGGTCTTTACCCTCAAACAGTCGATAAGTGGTTGTTTTGCTGGTCATACTGAAGGAAAGAACTGGTTTTGTTTTCACCCTCCAGTCAACTTAACAAGACGAAAGCAGATTTTGCTGGAAAAAATATCGTATATTTAAGACGATCATCCAGAAAACTCTATTTGTTATCGTGTTTTTTTTGTGTGTTTTTTTAAAAATATATCAAATGGAGCCGGATGTCTTTTGCTAACTCACTCTTAATGTAAATTTTACAATCACCAGGTTTCCATTGAGTCGTCAACGCATCGTTACATTGTTACAAAAATAATGATAAAAAGCAGCTATGAATTATTTAGAAAAAAAGAAATATGAACTTAAGCGTATTTTAAACAAATGATCATTTAAATAATAAAACAGATGTACTAGTCTTACAAGATAATGATAAAAACCGCTATGAAATCTAAAGAATAGCACAAGCAAATTAGAAAAACAGTTGACTAGAGTAAGGATTCTTATCGAAGCAGTTATCATTTTAATTTGACAATTTGATAATTTTGGAATGTACAACCAATGTCACGTGGAATGTTGTAAATATATATATCGCTTTTTCATGATATGTTTGCTAACGTATGTACTCCGTATAAAGCAGTCGAGCATTACATTTTCTCATCAAAGTAATAATCTTTTTTCCGGCAAAGTGTGATTCATTAAGATAATGAAATTAAGACGATTTTTCTTCTAAATATGATTAACAAACGTGTATTAATGGTATGAAAAAAGACGAATCTCGTTAGAGGCCATAGTATTAATAAAACAGATTCAATAATTTATCAATAATAGTTCTACTGAATTTCACACATTTCAGAAACAAATGACAGATATTGCATCCTAAATCGAATGTAGAACTTTCTTTAATTTACAACATTTATGAAAAAGTATTTTTCCAAATGTATTAATCAAAGAAATACATATCTACTTACCTGCATATGTGGATGTTCCTACATAGTGACAAATTCTGAATTCTATCGGGTTTTTTTAACGCGGGTATCTGTGACCTTACGACCGGTCACTGCTGTCACCTTTGTTTTAGTATTTACGTCCTGGAAAAAAGCCAAGGACATAAAAGTTCTGACAACTTCCGAGTGTGGACTAACATTTACATGCATGTATGCAGACACAAATACTTGTATTGGTTAAAATTATGCGGAAGGGACGCTGGCAAACGTGTATTTGAGTAAGTACAAAGCTCGGCAGAACACATGTGTTACATGTAGGTATATAAATTACACTAAAAACAACAGTCATTTCAACCCTTATTATGTACAACCCAACGTAACGCCTTCCTATGCATACATTACACACAGGGAGGCACGTACTAAAATAAATTCCATAGATGAGAAAAAAACACTTTACTGATGTCGATTCATTAGGTTGTTTAGCCATTTACCAAACTGCTGAACGAAAACCGGTGCAATTGAGCGAAAATTAAAAAAAAAATACTACTTTGTATGCACATGTATATCTAATCAAATGAAAACTGAATATCCTAGAGGGCGTGTTTAGTGGCAAGATGAGTGCCCGCTCGCGCGTTACATTTGGTGGCAGCGTCGTGACCATGCGGTACCTTCTAAGACTAGTTTCCAGTAAAATGCCTGGAGGGAATAGTGTAACAGCCGAGTTATAAAAGTAGAAATACTGCCTTACCGGCAAGCTAGCTTTTCCTCGATGCTGCATGTCCCTGGGAATCGCCCACTAGTTCAGCAGAGTCACGCGTAGTCAGTGGCTGTGTTGGTGCCCGCCCTCACATTACAATAGTTTTAAGCGTGTATGTGGAAACTAAAGTAGCAAATGTAGGGAACGTTTTTGTTTTTAAATTTCCTTTAGTTTTAAGTCAGAGGTATTACTTAAATATGATTTGATATGAACCTGAAAAAGTGATATCAACCTCGGCGAATATGACAGGAAAGTTTCTGAAATCAATCGTCTCAATACGAAGATAGAGAAGAAATCATTGTAAACGGTTTAGTTTCTGATAACTATCTAGATATATATGAAGGAAATATCTGATATAACAGTTACTGAAAGCTTTCCTGTCGTGATTATGAACTGTCAGTGAATAAGCCACAGATATACCATCGCACTGAAGATTATATGTTGATAAATGGGGACAACATAGGAATAAAAATAAGTTTGGTGACAATTTACGTCCATTTTACTTGCACTCTCTTACCTTGGCCTTAACTTTCCTAAAGCATTTGACTCTGGATTATCCTCTTGGAATCGTCGCCATGACGACCACGAACTGAACAGACCAATGTAGGGATATATCTCAACTTCTCGCTTAATCAATAAAGGCTCCTCTCTGTTAGAGAAAGAGTATTGGTTTAGAAATGCATGAAAACAAGGAAATAATAATAATATGTTACCATAAATTTAAATGAAAACTGTATATCAACTGTGTCAAGGCCACGACATTTCTGTGACATAACACTCTCAGAGGTTCAATCATCTGTAAACACATTGGTGATTTGACCTTGACTGTTACAATGACCATATAGTATACACTTTTATTTGGATATTATTTCCGGTTCAAGAAGTCAGCTGACGAGAGCAAACGTTCCGTTTTTGTAGGCAACCTTATGTTCAATTTGTCTCAAGATGTTTTCAACTTTTTCTATAGTATTCTCATACTGATAATACGTAGTATTAAATTTATCATGCTACCGGTAGCTGCTATAATGTTGTATATAGAAGATAATTGTATCACATCTTTCCAAAACAGAACTAAATGCCAATTAAAAGTAATAACACAGCGATGCATATAGTTACCTGATGGTATCCGAGAAAGGGAACTCTGTCATAGCTAAGCCATTGTCGATATGGACTTTCGTGTCCTTCCAATAATCCCCCAAAGTCTTGTTATAAAAACCCTATAAAACAACCAAGGGGTTATATCTGTTCTTTGACACAAATACCTCCTCGTATTTCATTGTTTAACAAGTAAACATGAATAATGCTAAACAAAATTGGATATTAGGGATGTAGGCGTAGTATGGTTAACATTAAAGCTATCTTTATATTAGATATGACTTGGAACAGCGATCCTATAGCTTCCCCAATATATCCTGATATGAATAGTAAGACTGAAAGTGGTATTGTACAAACACTTCTTTGTAAGGTGACTTTTGACCTATTGTCTCATGTGAAGTATAAAGAAGTATCAGAAATGAAGGAAATTTGATCATAACACAATATAATGCTTATACACCTCCCACACAAGCTGATGTGCTTCTTTGTTGTGTATTGTATCAGGTCCGAACGAATACACAGCTACTACACCTCCTGGTCGCAGCACGCGGCTCACCTCCCTAATACATATAGGTATGTCCATCCAATGAATGGCTGTAGCTACAGCCATGAAGTCAATTGTTCCATCTCCGAGGAAACTTAGGTCCTTGGCTTGGCCGACTCTATAGTCGATATTACTCGCAGCTTTTCTCGCTTTTGAAATTTGCTCTCTGCTGACATCTATCCAAATAACATGCTTACATATTTTGGTCAAAGGGAAAGTACGCTGTCCGCTGCTTGCATGTTTCCGTCCGATTGCTGGCAATACGTTTTTAGTTTTGTCGTACAATTCCTTTGGATAAGATGGTTGGTACTTTGCATACCCTGTGACATGTTCTTTGTCTTCGAATCGACGATAGGTAGGGTTCATTCTAAAAATAAAAGCAGAATTGTTTTGGTCATTATAATTCACGAGTTTTAACTGCAAATTTTCAAAACAAATCACAATTCAGTTTACTTTGTTTTTTCCCCTAGCTGTCACCTCGTTTCTAAATAAAACAATTTTGATAACCATAATTAAAATTGAATTGAAATAAAAATGAAATAAATTTGATTTTAATTATGAATATCGAAATGTTTTTTTTTTATATTCAAATGTTTCTTATACTCTCAAGCTGGCCCATGATATGTCAGAGCACTGTGAGGATAACGTTTGATTCGGTCGTCATGGTTCATCAGCAAACCGTAAGTATTGGTATGTCTTGGCACGAGGATAAAACACGTTGTTTTCCCTTCTTGAACAATCCCAAAAGTTGCAATAAGTAAAACAAACTTGCTTTGGTCAGTTTTATGTCGCAAAGACTTGGACACAATAGCCAACCAAATTTTGCAGGAGATCCCACATTATGGACCTGTTGAGTGTGTTATGATATGTGTAACCGGAGCTGTTTTGTTTTGTATTGTTTTACGATCCATTGACATTTTGCTGTAACGGAGAATATTTGTGTCAATTTTTTTCCCCTTCTAATTAAGAATACTGAAGTCATTTCGAAAAACAATGAAATAGCCGTTCAGAAACGAAGAATACATGTTTTTATTGTTTTTAGTTAACCTACAAGCAATGGCTGCAAGGATACAGTAGTTCGGATGGCGTGGGAGACACCATTAAAAGGAAGTAGTACCTAATAGGATCAGGGACTCATGTTGTAAAAAAGTGCCTAATAGAATCAAGGACTCGCATTATTGAAGTAGTACCTAAGAAAGTATAGGACTCACATTGGTGAAGTAGTACCAAATAGATTAAAAGACTCACATTGTTGAAGTAGTACCAAATAGAATCAAGGACTCACAGTGTTGAAGTAGTAACTAATAGCATCAATGACTCACAGTGTTGAAGTAGTACCCAATAGAATCCAGGACTCACATTGTTGAAGTAGTACCTAATAGAATCCAGGACTCACATTTTTGAAGTAGTACCTAATAGAATCAAGAACTTACGTTGTTGAAGTATTACCTAATAGAATCAAGGACTCAAGTTGATGACATAGTACGCCGTAGAATTAATGACTCACAGTGTTGAAGTAGTACCAAATGAAATCAAGGACTGTTGAAGTAGTAATCATTGTTTAGATATCAAAACCCAGTGCTCTGTTTTTGACTCGTACGTTAATAGTAGTTTGTGTTATGCTTCCGAGATCTGGGGTTTTCACAAATCACCCGATATAGAAAAGGTACATCTTAATTTTTGTAAAAGGTTGATAGGAGTTCGGAAGAACACTTGCAATGATTTGGTTTATTGTGAGCTAGGTAGATTTCCTCAAATAATACAAAGAAATTTAAGGATGTTTAGATACTGGCTTCAGGTAAAACAGAGTGGCAATTGTATATTAAAATCATGTTATGATGAATGTGTTAATGTAAATGATGGCTGGATATTTAATATTAAGCATGAGTTTTCTAGTATCGGTTTGAAATATATGTTCGAA